CCTTGTTGGTCAGTTAGAATCAGAGGGTCACGCCGCAAGAAGATTCTAACCATGTGAGGTTCAATAGCGAACAGCGGGTCATGAACCATGTGGCAGTCACTCAATGAAAGTTCCATATCCATGGAAAAAAAATACTGGGAGAATCAGGTATTGAAAGTTTCGATTTGCCGCCAAATGTCACTTCGACTTTGACGTCTCAAGCTTCCTGAAGCGGGTGGAAAAGGAAGCAACCGAGGGTAGCTTTTTCCACCTGCTTGTCAGGAACATCAAAAACGGAGAATCTAGCAAACCACTAGAACCGACCGAACCATGAAACGATCTAAGAAGCAAAACGAAGAACATCGATCACGATCTGACTGCCGGACGCGATCTTCACTGTAGAACATTTTGAACCGTTTAGAACACACCGAATAAAATAGTAATTTGAAAGGGACAGACCCTTGATAAACACGCGTCTGGAAACAATCATACAGTCCACTGCGTAACAATTTATTCGTCTCTTACGGAGAACTTAAATTGCACAGCGCTTCCGCGGTTAGCCGCGCTCCCTCCCATCGAGTTTCAGACATTCCAGATGCGAACATCAAGAGATGTATGTTTGAAAGAAACAAATTCTGATAACATACTGTATTGTAAGAAATGCGAGATTTCGGCGGCGAAGTGGTGGCCTGGACTTAGTCACGCAGGAAGAGAAAGCGCGCGGGTACCTGAGGGTGCCATAAACTAAGCCCTTTCCCCGAAAAGTCGAACGAGGGGGCTCCAACGGTTTTTCGGAGCAACGCAGGATAGGACGCGGAGAGGACACTCTTGATATAGCCGTCGAGCGAGACGGACACACGAGTACCTTAGCAGCCGCTTACATTTATAAAATGATACATTTTGGTTAATAGCCTATCGTGTGTTACGTTTATTTAAATTGTGCTAACAGTATTATTAAAAACAAATGTTTTAACATTTTTCTAAATATCTACAATTATTCTGAATTAATTAAAAATAACTTCAATAATCATAATGATAACAATAATAGAATCCTTTAAAAATAATTTCTACAATGTACTGAAATACTGAAAGAACTTAAAGAAGTGTTACGTACGCAGTCTAGCCGACTCGGCGGCGTCGAGACATTCGCCTAGGACTCACCCCCTTGAGATAAAATAAACGAACGCGTTTCGTTCCCATCGGAAAACTAGGGCCCTCACTACCAAAAAATACAGATTTTCGGGTATATAAGGGCATGATTTCCGATGCTCTGGGGCAGTCACTCTGGACAGAGTCACTTTGAACTTTAAAGTAGAGCAGTATTCGTATAGTCGCCGTTTGACACAAGCAAGATCGGGCTAAATTCTCTTTCAAGCAACTAAGTATAATACTTATCTCGTAAGTGTCAACTAGACATACTTGTCTACGACGTCCCCGCGTACTCGCCGTGTAAAGTCGAGAAGGAAGATTCTTGCTCAGCCAAGAATCAACCAATATACTTTATCTTTAGACCATTGTAAACTTTTGTAAACTCATTATTAGAATATAGTTACTGTAGAATTGTTTCAGCCTATATTCAATTGACCATCTCCTTGTAACATTAGTAACGAATCAGCTAAACTCACAAGGATATATCTTTACTGCTCGAGGTATATCCGACATTACCATACGCACTGTTCTCACAACCACCCAACCTTTCCATCCCTCGGAGAACGACGTAGTAACCACATGCGTCGAAGGTTCCAATCCTATCGGACTTGCTGGAGTACGACGTATCACCCACATACGGTGAACGTTCCGACCGGTCCACCAACCCAAACCAATATTACGCTCCGTATGAGGACACACAAGCGTAACCCGTAACAGAAGTATTCGTTATTTCTCTACTACAAGTATAATTTAAATAGTTAAAATTTTTTTATAATAGGTAATTGTCAATCGGTGCAGTAGTGAATTGTCAAGGAATTTCTTTATAGTAATAATACAGATATTTCTGATTTCTTAATATAATTTTCATGAAATATCTGGTATACGTATGTTTATACTGTATGATTGTTTATCATTAACAGTCTACAACATACAATGAAGACAACAGTATATTAGTGGCTTTAATTATTTATAATTCTATGAATTTATTTAGGCATTGTATTTCATTTTCTATGCTGAAGACAAACGATGTTCTGTGAGTGAGTTGTTCATTATTTAATCAATACTTAACTATAGGAGTGTCGTACTAACTGACCGCGGTCGGGACTATATCTAGCCAGCTATCTAGGGAGGTAGAGTTCCAGGAAATACCGAGTATGCTTTTCCTGTATCAAGTTCGAGTGAGATACGAATACGAATACCTGATGTGAAATATTGAAGACCTTGTTTATTTTAGATACGCAACAACGGTTCCACGAAGCCAGTTCCAAAAATTGGTGGGGATAGCGACGGTCAGCTAAGAAAGAAAATCCCAGTCAGTTAACGCGATACTACTGTATACAGGGTGTCCCGTAACTCCTCGAACACCCGGAAAGGGGGGATGGGGTTGCTCGGGTGACTCTGAATAACTTTTTCCTTTACCAAAATGTTGGTTGAAGCTTCGTTTTTGAATTATTAACGAAAAACACTGGCCAATCACAGCGCGCGTAGAGCCCGCGCCCAGGAACGGGATAGCAGAGACTCATCCGCGCGCGATTGTGAACAAACGCGTACGCGAGACTTCTCTACTTCTCTAATACTTAACTCGAAGGACTTCCAAGATTTCACGTGCCCGCAGATATCGCCCCACTCCTTCCAAGAAAAAGCGCGCTAAGGGCGCACTGGAAGGGTGAGTGATACTCAAGAGGCACGTTGATTGGTAACTTGTAATTTCATGATAAACCAATCTGCGTGCCCTCTTGCATTCGCAGGGGAGTCACGATCGGACTCTCCAAAAAATCGAGTCATTCGTCATTTGTTCGTGAGCCTAATCGTTCGTAAGCTCTCGAGTTTTGAGCCTATTCATCGTATGAGACAAAAGATTCAATTGTTCGCAAGTTCTCGAGTCATTCGTTCGTGAGTCTTGACTCAGATACAGTAAATTCTCCACAAGTGTCAGTCCGCAAGGAACCTAAACCTGACACTTGTAGAGTCAGGGACTACGTTTTCGAGCTTGGCGCCCGCCTTTGTAGTTTGCCGAACGTAGACAAGGACAGCGAATAAGAGATAAGGATGAAACGTGAGTCGAGGCAACCAAGCGATTTAAATATCAACCTTTTCAATTTTACGTTTTTTTATCCCGAAAATTTTCTTAACATATTGATGAAATTTTTCTGATGAAAATGACACTGTCACGCCAGACAGTGAACGTGTTAATAAGTAAATGTTGTTCAAATTATGTCGTGTTTGATATCATTTTCATCAGAAAAATCTCACCAACGTGTTAAAAAAAATTTCAGATGAAAAAAAGTAAAATTAAAGAAATTATATTTTTCTATTATGAATTGTCGAGCCGTGAAATCTCGTAAAAGAAATCGAATGGTGTAGCGTTAGACGCTTGACTGACAGCGAGCGAGATAACATAGGCGCAGCAATGACGCAGACTTAGGTGTAGGACCATCTATACTGACACTTGTAGAATCCAAACTGACTGACACTTGTAGAGAATTTACTGTATTCATCTGCAAACATTAAGATCTTTAGTTTATCCTTTCGCAACATTTTGAATACATTACCCAAGATTAATTAGGCGGGTAAAAATTCGGAACGCGACGTGCATGACACAATGTGTAGGGTAAAGTTGAACATCGCGGTGAATGTGTATACAGCGGTGTTGGATTATAGTCGAATGTCGTAGCGTAAAGGTTAATCCCTTGCCCTAAAATGACGTTCCCGAGACGCCGTGGGTCTCGAGTGTCAAATTTAACTATCGGGCTGAAATTTCGTACACACGTTAGTATTACCATTACTAATGCCTAGAAATCGCAACTCAAGAGAAAAAATCCTGACCGCCAATTTGGGGTTCAAGTCTGGGACGGACGTCCCCGCTGAAAGTAAAAAAAATTGCTTAATGAAGGTATAAGATAGACTCTTGGGTACTTCGAAAGCCCCTTCTCAGAGCGGCAAACGCTCAATGTCAAACTTTACTACGATGTCTCCGAGACATCATGAGATTTTTAAAGCTATTCATCATGTGCTTTTCATCACATGCTTTTCTTACACCGCGTATTGCGTGTACCGCGATTCTTTGTATAAATTTCATGGGGTAGTAAATCTCGTTTACACTCGATCGCGGCGGTAATTTGAGACGCTGATTAACAGGAAACTAATCATGATAACCGGATTGAAATTATACTCTTGATCGAGTCTGAGATTAAGCTTGACTTGACTCTCGGGCGAGTCTTTGCAAATGATTAAGTGTTTAACCCTTGATGGTGTAATGCGTTTGTAGTAATCTCTGTTTCGCTGGTGTGTTGGTGCTTATATTAACAGTAGGTGGTTCCTGATTGGTTATTCGC